AAAAATAAAATTAATAATTCTTTTTATTATCATTTAACTTTTTTTAAAGGAGAAAAAAAGTCAATAATAATTTTTTTTAGCATTTTTACATTTTAATTAAAAAAATGAAAATAAAAAATAATACTTTTATCTAAATTAATTTATTTATTTTTTTAGGTCCAACCCATTTCATAGGGAATGAAAAGATTGGTAAAGGAGGACACAATTGTTGGAACAAAAATGACTGATAACTTAGGTGCTCCACTGGAAATTCAATGCGAATAGGAATAGCTTCCTTGCGAACTGGGTTGAATTGAAACTTAGCTCCTATGAAGAAAATTAGGGCAGTTGTATCTTCATGCCGCCTTAACCCGACAACATGAGTATTAGAGGAGAAGGACCGCACCACTTGGTAGCTTTTGGGTAAAACTTCTCGGAAAATTCTTTTAGCATAACAAACCTCCTTAAAACAAATAGGGGGATGCGGTTTTCACTTATCCTTCTCAACTCTCCCTGCAGCTTCACTCACCTCATCCACCCAACCCTATTTTCCTTCATCCTCCACGACCGCCCATTCCACTCTCCCTCACCGGCCACCAAGCTTTCCCATCTTCTTCCCGAAACCACGGCCCACACCAAACCTCACCCTTGTTCGCAATCTCTTTCCTCACCCGCAGGTCCATACACATCTACCTTCCCCCTCATCAGTGTCAACCAAGCCACCATCATAACCTAGCTACGCCCAGTCAGCCATTATCCAACTACAACCACGTCGCACCCCCCACTCTTAGTCGCAACCTCCACTTACCCCTCGGTAGCTGCTCCTCACTCACAGCGAATCCCAAATCCCTCCACCTCCCATTTTCAGCCCCACACTTTCACCAACCACTGTGAACTCCACCGTAGCCCCCGTGCTCCTGGTCAGCACCACGCCCCTAACACAATGCCGACCAGCCAAACCCTAGGTCACCCGTATACCCCCGAACCAGGTCCACCAAATTAAAAAACACATAACTCATTCTATATTTTATTCATATCACTTTTCTACGTATATTATCATCTTATAGTATTTTACTCTACCAAATCAGAATTAAATATAGGAAGTTCTGATTATACAATATTTTGTAACGCTATATAAATCTATAATTTAGTTAATCAAATATCTTTATCACAACACTCTCCCTCAAGTTGGTAAATGGATGTCATACATTCTCAACTTGTCCAATAATCTCCTAAAAATCTGACTTGTCACAACTTTGGTAAGAATGTCTATCAACTGATCTTCAGATCGAATATTTGGCAATTTCAAAATATTTTTATCAAGTTTTTCCTTGATGAAAAATCTATCAACATTCACATGTTTCATCCGATCATGTTGGACAGGATTGTGAGCAATGTCGCGCGCAAATTTATTATCACAATACAACTGAATGGGACGTGTATGTGCATACCCTAAATCCTGGAGAAGTAGTCTGAGTCACAAACCTTCACAAAATCCAATAACCATTCCACTAAGTTCAGCTTCTGCACTAGATCTAGCTACAACTTTCTGCTTCTTGTTTTTCCATGTGACAAGATTACCCCCTACAAATGTAAAGTATCTAGAGGTTGATCTTTTATCATCAAGAGCACCTGTCCAATCTGCATCAGTATAAACCATCACATCCTTGTAGTTGGAGTTCTTCTTGAACATAACTCCTTTTTCAGGAGCAGCTTTTATATACCTTAAAATTCGTATAACAGCATCCATGTGTTTTTCACCTGGATTGTGCATGAATTGGCTAACCATGGCCTAGTGTGTGAGAGATACATCAATCTCCCTACAAGTCTCTGATATCTTCCCTTGTTAGTTGTAGTTTAATCTTTTTCAATGCATAGCTTTAATCCCTCTTCAATTGGAGAATTTGTTGGTTTGCATGCTGTCATTCCAGTTTTTTTTAGTAAATCCAATGCATACTTTCGTTGTGAGAGAAAAATACATGACTTTGATCTTGAGACCTCAATTCCAAGAAAATATTTTAAAGGATCAAGATTCTTCATCTCGAATTCCTTTGTCAAGTACTCTTTCAATGTCTTGCGTTCCTCTAGATCGTTTCCCGTAACTATTATGTCATCAACATAGACAATAAAAATTGTAATCTTTTCTTCCTTTTTCTTTAGAAACAAAGTATGATCTTGGTTGCTCTGTTGGTATCCAAGAGCAAGCATTGACTTGGTGAATCTACCAAACCATGCTCGTGGCGATTGCTTTAGACCATACAATGAATTTTTCAACTTGCATACCTTCTTGCTATGTGTATTCGGGATCCTACATCCTTCTGGTAGCTCCATATAAACTTCTTCAGACAATTCCCCGTGTAAGAAGACATTTTTTACGTCAAATTGTTGTAAGGACCAATCAAGATTTACAGCTAGAGATAACAATACTCGAACTGTACTAATTTTGGCTACGGGAGAAAACGTTTCAGTGTAATCTATTCCATATGCTTGTGTGTACCCCTTTGCCACTAATCTAGCTTTGAATCTCTCAATTGTGCCATCTGCATTAAATTTCACAGTATACACCCATCGGCATCCTACTGGTTTCTTTCCAACTGGACAATTTCTTTGCAAGGATCTCATCTCCTCATTCATAGCATCCTTCCACCTGAAAGCTTCCTGCACACTGTTAGAAATATATACAGTAGATAATTGACTTATAAATGCGATATTTGAGTTAGACAAATTCTGGTTACAAATATAATTACTCATAGGGTATCTTGTCTTACTGGTGAGGTCAGAATCATAAGTAGGCTTAGGGATACCTCTAGTGACACGATCTGGCAGAATTCTTTTTTCTATATTAGGTTCTTGAGAGGACGATTGGTGTGGTATATCATTAGCATCAACAGACAAATTTTCGATCTCAACATGCTCCAAATCTTCCTCATTATGTGGTTGTTGATCATAACATTGTTGCATATTTTCATCATCTCTTGATACAACTTTGTAACTTTCTTTCTCCAATCTGATCTCAATATCAATTTCTTGAGGAACAAAAATCTGAACTTCATCATAATTTTCCCCCTGAATTTCAGACTCGGGAGAAAAATATATCAAGGTTTCATAAAAAATTACATCTATAGTAGTAAACATTTGCTTGGTTTGTGGATTGTAGCATCGATATCCTTTCTGTTGATTCGCATAGCCAAGGAACACACACCTTTCAGCTCTAGGAGACAACTTACTTCTCTGATGCTTGTGTACGTGAACATAAGCAACACAACAAAAAATTATATGTGTTAGTTCAACAATTTTAGGACTTACTACTGCATCTGTAAGTGATTGAAGAGGTGTTTTATACTCAAGAGACCTGGACGGTGTTCGATTGATAGTGTATACTGCATATGTGAGAGCTTCTCCCCAATATATTGCTGGCATGTGAGCTCCAATTAGTGCAGCTTGGACCACCTCCAATAGATGATAGTTCTTTCGTTCTGCCATCTCATTCTGTTATGGAGTACTTGGACAAGATCTTTGATGAACAATTCCTTTGGCTACTAAAAAATGTTGAAGTTCTTATTGCATGTATTCTCCTCCGTTGTCACTGCATAGTACCTGAATTTGTGCTTTGTACTGGGTCTCAATCATTTTGCAGAATTTCTGAAATAGTCCTCCAACTTCACTTTTAGACTTCATCAAACATAACCAAGTCATTCGAGTACAATCATCAATAAACATTACAAACCACTTTCAGCCACCCAACGTTGTAACCTTAGATGGACCCCATACATCAGAGTGAATGATCATAAAAGGAAGAGAACTTTTATTTAAAATTAAAGGAAAATATGTTCTATGACTCTTTGCACGCTCACAAACATCACAATAAAAAGTTGAAGTGTCTACTTGGTCAAATACCTTTGGAAATAATTTCTTTATGTAACCAAAATATGCATGTCCTAGACGTTTATGTCATAACCAGATATCATCGCCTTTTCTTACTTCTTGAGACCTTTTTGTTGCTAGCACTTGACCAAGTCTCTTTGAATCTTTTTCTGTCAGGTCCAGGTAATATAACCTTCCTCGACTAATACCACAACCAATCGTCTTCCTCGTATGAATATTCTTAAAAACACAAGAGTCAGACCCAAAAATTACAACACATAAAAGAGTTTTGGTTATTTGCGAGACTGACAATAGGTTATATTTAAGAGAAGGAACAACAATGACAGTATCAAGATTCAAATTGTTTGAAATAGAGACAGTTCCTTCTCCAAGGATTTACTACCATTGGCTGTGGATATACTCTTTTGTGAGGAAGGTTTAAGATTTGTAATTTGTCTAACATCAAAAGTCACATGATCAGAACATGCATAGTCAATTATCCATGCATTATTCAAAACGGTAGATATGCTTATTAAAGCCTTACCATTAGAATCATCACTACTTGCGATTGTAGCAAGCATCATGCCTTTGTTGTCCTCTTTGTCAATGGCAGTTACAGCAGCAGTTGGATTTCTTTTTGAATTCTTCTTTGATGCTCGACTGTGATCCCACCACTCAGGATATCCTATGATTTCATAGCATCGTTCCTTGGTGTGTCTATCCTTATTACATTGAGTACACTTGTAGTTACCTTTTTCAAAATCTTTTGATTGCTTCGATTTGCTGTGGTGAATTGTTGGCTGCTTCTTTGTCATCATAGTTATGGAATCAGCAATCATATATTTTGTTTTCAATGTTGTTCAACGTTGTTTGCCGAACTGTCTCTCTCCGGATCAGATCTCCAAGGATTTTGAAAGAAAAAAAAAGTTATAAGCTCTGGTACCAAATTAAAAAACATAGAACTCATTTTATATTATTTTTGTACACATCTACTATGATCTTATAGTATTTTATTCTAACAAATCAGAACTAAATATAGGAATTTCTGATTATACAGCTGTTATACAAACCTATAATTTAGCTAATCAAAAATTTTTATCCCAACATACCACGTCCTAACCTCCTCCAAACATCCACTTTTGTCGCGCTACCCTCCTTCACCGTGAACCTTCAGCCCTCACTTGCTCTCCCCATTTAAGCTTCGCGGCGAGCCTAGATTTCAGGTTTAGTTCATGGGATTTGAACTGCATTCCTGTCGGGTTTATTGGCAGTAGGATTTTAGTTTAATTTTGGGTTCACTATGTTGTTTTCGTTTGTTTCGGCTTGAATTTGATGCTTTCATTTATTTTTTATTTTTTATTTTGTTTAAGGTTGATGTTATCCGAATGGGGTGTGTTTAATGTTGATTATGTTTTGCTACTGAACAGACTTGGATTAAGTGCATTCAGACAGGTTTAGTCAAGGGTGAAGCTTGGTTCATGATTTGTCTATAAGTTCAATTCGTGTTATATTTGTTTGTGAAAATTGTGTTTGTTTGAACTATTTGAGTTTATTGATTTGTATTGGGGAAGATTAGTGGTTTTGGTTATTTAGTGTGGAGTGTATATATTTTAGACTGATCTTTTTGTTTTCTGGTTTGATTTCATTTAAAATATTATTAACGTTGTGTATTTGGATTAATAAATATGGATTTTTTTTTTCAATTTTTGTTATTTATACTATTTAGCGGTTTTCTACCATCGAACTTGATTCAGCGGCTACCGGCACTATATTGCCATTCAATTTAGCATCGATTGGTCCTATTTGTTGTTCGATTGGTCCTATTTGTTATTCGATTTCGTGGTTATGCGCTAACGCACTTCGACTTAGTGGCTTTGGCTTCAGAACTTGTGCGATTTTTGATTTAGTAGCTTTCAGCCTTGTCTTACGTTACGTGATATAGGTCATTACGTGATATGGGTCATTTGAATATATGTCTCTTTTAAATGAAATTTGAAATATGAATATAATCGATCGTGTTGTTATGTTTTTTTTTTTAAATAAATTATTCTTTTAAAAATAAATTTTGAGATACAGATATAATATGTTTTTAAAATAAATCTTGAACAGTATCATTATTTGCATAGTCATGTCTTTTATTTTAAATAAATTTTTGAAACATAAATATAATATATGTCTCATGATGTATCTTCAAATATAATATAAACGATAAAAATATAAATTTTTTCAGAACCTAAAATAATACAGAATTCTTTAAAAAATAAAACTTTTTAAAACATCAATCAAACATATGAATTTTTTCTATAATGAATTATATCATTATGATTTCTTATCTTAAATGAGAATATACACGAATAAAATCAATTCTTAGTGAGTCTTACAAAATTAAATAATAATTTTGTTCATTTTTTTCTTTTTTTTTCTCTGTTTTTTTTTTATTTTGGGAAGAAATAAATATTTTTAAAATAATATTTAATTTTTAACATTCAATTAAAGATAATCGTTATTGATATTATAATATGATTATTTTCCTTACAAGTAATCGACTTTTGAATTAAATTTAATTTTTATAGATTTTTTCTTATCTTTATAATTCTTATAGTATTCTTAGATAAATTATGTAGACCACTCCAAAAATTTGATTTTTAAATATTTAAAATTTGGATAGGCATTCCGTCACAATTTTAATTACAATAATTATTATTATAAATATATATATCATTTCATTTTCTAAAACAAATCATCCCATCTTTTAAAACATAAGAGATTTTGTTTTATGAATTTTTGTATGATAATGTATAGAAGTTACATTTGGTATGGTATGTTTTTATTATTCAATAATTTCCTAACATGAAATGGGTACAAGAATGACCTAGAACATCATCATGTTTATTCTGTAACATTCATATTTCATATCCATATTTTATAATTTTTTGATGGGTTCAGGAGTAGCTTAAAAAAATGAATTGACTTGTTTTTTTAGACAAGGATATCATGGAACACAATGATGATGTAACATGGGGTTTAAGGCTACTTTTAGTTTCTTTTTACCCAAAAATTATAATTGGTCTATCTGCAAAAGTTGAGAAGCATGTTGGAGTGCATAAATTAAAAATATGGTCATGGTCTCCAAACCTCCATCAATCATCTTCCATGGAGGAGGGTAAGGGGTGCTGAATCCAGTTTGTTGGATCCTATCTGTTCCTTCATGCTTTATCAATTATATATTCTTTCTTTAGGTAACACTATTCATCTCATGCTTAAATTTTCTTTTCATTAAAAATACATTATTTTCAATACCTGATTGCTTGTAAAAACAGGAAAGGAAGTTACTACCAATTCGTTGACAGGGTTAAAAGGAAGGTGGCCCGTGACTTTCTAGTGAAGAAAAACATTGCCCATTACCCAATACCCAACACTTTATAACCTTTCAATATAGAAAAAGCTTTTCATATCCTTTTTCTATCTTTTTTTTTTTTTAGAGAAAGGGAAAAAATGTCATCATAATTTGTTGACTTTGGCATAGAAGGAATATTATTTTGTTGTGGGTCATAGTCATAGCTAACACAGCTTTTGCAAAATGTAAATAGAATATAGCTTTTGGATTTCAATAAACGTTGAGATATTGACCATGTCAACAGCACAAATAGTTTTGTTATAAGTGAAGTATTCAATTAATGTTTTATGGCAATGCAAGATTTTCCATTTTTGCACTAAAGTATAAGCAATGACGTTTGGCTAAAGAAAAGAGTAAGACCATGTCACAAAATTAGTGGGTAAGTTTGATAGCTGTTGCAATGTTAAATAAAGATTTTGTTACTCTTTCTTGACCCCTTCTTTTTGCATGTAAACTTAAAAGAAAAAGAAAATAGAAGAAACAGTTTGCAATTTGAAGTACAGTTGTATAGAAATCTTAAAAAATGTGACGCAGAGGCCCCAACCAGCAAAAAAGTTATCAATCGGTCCCATCCCATCATCATACACTTTATAAGTTAAAGTCTCGAAAAAAACATTTTCCAAGTGTCATTGCCCCATGGAATCATCCACAATAATCCAACCAACATTGCTCCCAATTTTTTCAGCTCAACTAAAAAATAACATAATTATATAGTAAACTCTATTTAATATTTAAATTTGAGAGAACTAATTAAACTAAAACTTCGAACACCTTGATTTACATGTTTGAAAAAAACTATGAGAATTTTCAAGACAAACTTGCGGCATCTGCAGTTTATCTAGATGCTTAGCTACATTCGATTTGTATGTAAAATTGAAACCAATCCTTATGACAACTAAGAAAATGATTTAATTTTGTTAAGCAATAAATGCGATAATCACAGTCAAATAAACTTCTCAGAGTCAAACACCTTCCAAGTGAAATAAGACTCTACTTTTCTCCAACTCAGCATCATAATCGTGGTCGTCGTAGTCATCTTCATCTATCTACCCACCTTCTTCTCCGATTCCGTCAGCCGGAGACATGGGGAACTGCAACGCGTGTGTGAGAGATGACGTGGCAGAGTCAAACCGCGGGAGAAAGAAGAAAACCAAACCGAACCCTTACGCGGAGGAGACGCTCCGTTCTGGCGTTCCGATCCGCGTGCTGAAGGACGTGACGTCGCGGAGCCTCATCGGAGACAAGTACGTGATAGGTCGGGAGCTAGGTCGGGGGGAGTTCGGGATAACCTACCTGTGCACGGACCGGGAGACGAAGCAGGAGCTCGCCTGCAAGTCCATCTCAAAGCGCAAGCTGAGGACCGCAGTGGACGTCGAGGACGTCCGCCGCGAGGTCGCTATCATGTCCACGCTGCCGGACCATGCCAACGTCGTGAAGCTCAAAGCCACTTATGAGGACCAAGAGAACGTTCACCTCGTCATGGAGCTTTGCGCCGGTGGCGAGCTCTTCGACCGGATCGTCGCACGTGGCCATTACAGCGAGCGTGCGGCCGCGCACGTTGCGAGAACCATTGCTGAGGTCGTCAGAATGTGTCACGCCAATGGCGTCATGCATCGAGACCTTAAGCCCGAGAATTTCCTCTTTGCGAATAAGAAGGAGAACTCTGTACTTAAGGCCATTGATTTTGGTCTCTCCGTGTTTTTCAAACCTGGTACGCCAGTGAATGGATTTGTTTCGTTATGCTCAAATCAGATAGGACGGTTATGAATGCTTTGAGGATTAGAAACAGTTGCATTTTAAATATTTGAACTCGATGTCACTAATTAAGCTGATGGGTTTTTTTTAATGAATGAACAGGGGAGAGATTTTCAGAGATTGTGGGGAGTCCTTACTATATGGCACCGGAGGTATTGAAGAGGAATTATGGGCCAGAAGTTGATGTGTGGAGTGCTGGGGTGATTCTTTATATTTTGTTGTGTGGGGTTCCTCCGTTTTGGGCAGGTATGTGCTTTCCTTTTTTTTATCGTCCAATGTTAGTTGTTAATGCGCTGTTGTGTTTCTGTGTTTTGGGTGAGTGATGGGGTGTTTGAATTTTAGTGAAATGTTTCGTTTGGTTTGATTCGGTGTAGAGGACGAAAGAGGGGTGGCTTTAGCGATTTTGAGGGGAGTGATTGACTTCAAGAGAGAACCATGGCCTCAGATTTCTGCAAGTGCTAAGAGCCTCGTGCGCCAGATGTTGGAGCCTGATCCTAAGAAGCGCTTGACGGCTGAACAGGTGCTTGGTAAGTACTTTATGGTTTGTGAAGTAGGATGGGATCATAATGTTTAAGCTGCTCAAAATTTCCATGTATGTTGTATTTTTTTTATTTTTATTTTTTCATTTTTTTTCTGTTTAATAGAGTATTCTCATTCTCTTGTGGACCGTTTGTTGCATTGCCCTTCTAAAAGAAAATAAGAATTTGGTGCATGTTTGAACCTCTACGACTCAGGAGGCCGTCAGGCCTACGTACTTGAAAATTGATGCTAAATGTTTACCATCCTTAATTATGGCTGCAGAACATCCCTGGTTGCAAAATGCAAAGAAAGCTTCAAATGTTCCGTTAGGAGATATTGTGAGGACTAGGCTTAAGCAGTTCTCTGTCATGAATAGATTCAAAAAGAGGGCCCTTCGGGTTAGCATCTATTTCAGTTTATGCATAATTGTTAACTCAAGTTCGGTATGTATTGGAATTATAAGGAAGTTCGAACGGTGGTGATTTGAGTTCCTTTGAATGAATGCTACAGGTAATTGCAGAGCATTTATCTGTTGAAGAGGTAGAAATCATCAAAGACATGTTTACATTGATGGATACTGACAAAGATGGCAAAGTAACATACGACGAACTGAAGGCTGGGTTACGGAAGGTTGGTTCACAATTGGCTGAGCCAGAGATTAAGATGCTGATGGATGTGGTAGGCTTTTGTTTATACCATTTATATTGTAATTTCTCAATATAATTCCAGTTCTTTGATTGTCACTACGATGAATTATTGGGCGGGGCGAGCTGATGGATCTCTGAGACCATTTTCTGTTGCATGATTTCATACGATAGTATGCACTTCTATGAACATGAAATACATGATGTTGTGCACTCTGCAGGAATGAAGATTTTCATACGTTGTTGATGTGTCTTGACTGGTTTTATACACTATTGCATTACATAATATAGTGTTCCATGCCAAATTCAGTACGTGATTAGTTTCGGGTCTGAATAATCCCTAAATTGTATTGATGAATATTGGTTTCTTTGAATTTGGATGTGAGGATTGTTTGTTTCTAAAGCCTTAGCTAGACACTCCTTACTTTGCTACAAGCCTGATATAACCTCTTACTTTTATTGACTTAACCGCTTCATATAACACCAATGTTTCATTTGAATTGAGCTTCATCCATCTAAAACGATATACTAAATTTAAATTGAATGGCCAATCATACCCTAAGCCGGGACTTTGTAAGTTGTAATGTAGAAATGCAATGAACAAATTCGTGATTAAAGAATGTTTTCTTTGCAATCAATTACTTAGGCCGATGTTGATGGGAATGGAGTACTTGACTATGGAGAGTTCGTAGCCGTGACAATTCACTTGCAAAGAATGGAGAATGATGAACATTTCCGAAGAGCATTCATGTTTTTTGACAAAGACGGGAGTGGCTATATTGAGTTAGGGGAGCTAGAGACAGCATTATTAGATGAGTCTGGAGAAAACGATACTGCTGTATTGAATGACATCATGCGTGAAGTTGACACGGACAAGGTTTGACATTCTTGCTCATAAATTGTTTTATTTTCCATTATAATGCGATATAAAGAAAAACCCACAGGCTTGCTTCTCATGAGATTTGATTATTCTGGTGATAATATTTCTAAATTTCTGTTTACATAGGACGGTCGCATCAGTTATGAAGAGTTTGTGGCCATGATGAAAACTGGAACAGATTGGAGAAAAGCATCTAGACAGTATTCAAGGGAGAGGTTCAAGAGCTTGAGCATAAATTTGATGAAGGATGGCTCACTTCAGCTTCATGACGGTATTAGTGGTCAGGCTGTAGTGGTTTGAGCAATAAATCATTTCTTTTTGTAACCTTAGAGCTCACTCAGTTAATTTCTACTTACTATGCTTGAAAGCATGGTTTCTGTGAACTCTCCTTGAAAGCATGGGAGTTTTGTGTCGGAGCGTCTTGAAGCATAGAGATTTACCTGGAGTTGGAGTTGGGTTGCTTAGGTTTTTCAGTTGGATTGGGTGTTAGATGGGTGAAGCTTGAAGCATGCATTGGAGGGTTTGCATAGCAAAGTTGTTTGATACATTGTCAGCACAAGTTGCGGGAGCACATGCTGGCCGCTGGCCTCAAAATGCAACATCACATATTCTTTGTATATCTTTGTCGTGTTGTTCGTGTTCGATAATTTCATGGCTAGTGATTTGTCTAACTTTTGTTGGGGTTTGTCTCATTGGAGCTTTGAACTTCTCAGAATGTACAGTGTCTGTAAAAGCAATTAAAATTTGTCCAACAAAAAATATAGAATCTTGTGCTCGGTTTTTATTTTTTATTTTAATTGTTTAGTTTTTGTGTATATAAACTATGATGCATTTTAATAATTCAGATGAACTTCAGTCTTTGAACAAATTTTCTTGTTCATGTACTTCATTTTATTGACTTCAGTCCTTGAACAGGTAGATGCATTAATAATAACCCCTTCACCTAAGATTTAGTAATAACGTTTTTGTTTTTAATTCGTTTAATCATTTTGCATTTGACATCAAAACCGTATAAAAAAAATAGGATTTGAGAATCATACACTAATTATTTAGAATAGGGATCATTATATGGATATTAAATTTATAAATAATTTTCTTATATAATTTGGCAAATATAAATTTTTGGTTTAATAAAATTTTAAATACAAATTTGTTTTTTTTTATTTTCTAAAATTAAATAATTTTAGTCCATTATTATTAAATTGTTAACAAAAAAAATTAATATATCCGTTGAAATAACATCCGTTTGTTTAACATCGTCTTGTGTTCTTGGATTTCTCCAAATGGTTCCTGTAGTCCCTTATATCGATGGAAATACAAACTAATGTGTTTGTTTAGGCCCAAACTGAACCACAACATAAATGGGGTAATCTTTTACAGGCTCGTTATCGCACCAAATAGCTTGCGGGCCAAGACCCATAACCTAAGAAAAAACTAATGTATATATATAATCCAAGCATACTTTAGGTGAGATAAAGAATGAAAAATGGAAATGTGAAAACCTAACCTGAAGTTACTTTGAGCTTATGTTTATTTTCAACAAGGAAAATATAATATGCGCGAAAATGAGAAGAATCATGATTTCCATGAGCAAAATTTCCAAAGTTATAAATAATTAGTGTTTTTTATTTCTGCAACTATATATATATATATATATAATTGATTAGGTTTTTAAAAATTTATTAATATTTTTAATTGTTATACTAATAAATGATAAAAATAATATTAAAATAATAAATAAATTTATGATAAACCTATAACACTAATTATTATATAAAAATAAATATATTACATATAAATACTAATCATCATATAAAAATAAATATATTACATGTAACAAATTGAATTTAAATTTTAAAAAATAAAATTTATTTTATTTATTTTTTACTTTTAAAATCTGAGTTCATAATTTTATTTTTAATATTAAACTAGAATATCATAAAATATTAAAATAATTAATTTATTTATAATTAATAAAAAATTATATTAATATTTAATATTTTTATATTAAATTACGTAGATTAATTTTTTATAATAAAAAATATTATGAGATATTTCCTTTATATTTTAATTTTTTGTCTTATGTTTTCTTGAACAAGAGATAAAAATAATTATAGAATTAAAGAATTAAAAATTACAATTTTTAAAAATAAAACTAAATAAAAAAATTTATATTTTTTATCTTAAAAGTGAAGCCATAGAAGAAAAAGGTATGAAAATGAAGAGTGGTAGAAATAAAAAATAAAAATATGAAAAGATAAAATTAATGTAAAATTGGTGTCTAATAGGAAAAATTGAAGTTAAAAAATGAAGAGGAGAAAAGAAAGATAAAAATATGAGGAAAAAAATATATATAGAGAGAGAGATAAAAAATTATATAAAATAATAAACTGATTTGTGATTGGAACTGACACCTAATTCCGCCGCTGATTATATATATATATATAAAAAGGACTAATCCACGTATCTCATAGTTTACTTTTTAACTTTTTTATTTCTAAAGATGTCATGAGTTAAATATATTGAGTGAATTTAAGTTTTTAATAAACCATGGACCATTACTGTTTGGAATAATTATGATACCTAACATCGTGATGCAACATAAATTGAGAACAGCAACAAGTTATAGTGGACCTACTGTCATAAAACTCACCATTTGAAATCACAACCACTTCCCTCTGCAACTAGCTAAGTCCCACACCATAAATTCATCACATAAGGAGAAGTATTTGAAGGCTACATATACTATTCTTTACCAAAATTATGTTCAAAGCCTTCAAGGGTTACTCAAACAAAACTCAAAACCCAAGCAACAACGTGAATGCATGCAAATGTTGATTGATTCGTGGTTTCGAATCGACAACAGAAAAATGACAATGTTCTGATACAGTATATTCTCGTCCACACACTTTCACCTTTTCTTTCTTTCATCATTTGTCTTTTACTTTCTAGTTTGGCATGTAATGCGTTTATATTTTGTAAGTCATAAAGCATATTAAACTTTCTTCTTTTATTTTCTTTTGAGTTGTAGCAAATTTAGATTTTACTTTAAATCATTTCACACCGCTGAAGATGTCAATGAAAGACGTGTAAAGTATGAAAAAGTATTTGATGTGGAAGGTACACCCACGATTCCACCTTCACAAAGCAGTTCCTTTTTCTGGATATTCTTTCTCCAATGACAAAAGGAACTTTTATTTTTTAAAATAAGACAATTAGTTTCTTTTTCTTCCTACAATTTACACAATTTTCAAATTTATATTTCAAGACAAATTAACATCTTTTAATCATTCCGTACAAAAAATTGAATGCACACAAATATACGTATAATAATAACATAAACATTTTATTTGTATTTTGAGAAAATTATTTTCAATATCTTGAAATATGAAATATAAAATTGTTAGGAATCATAGTAATTATTTAAGAATTTATAATTAAAAATAAAATATGAGAGAAGAGAAACAAAACCATCAATAGATAATAATAAAATTTTACTACTAGAATAAATTATAATATTCTCTTTAAAAGAGAAAATAATAATAATATTTTATCTAAAATATAAGAAAACTCAACTATTAACTATTATACAATGTCCTAGTAGAAAAGAGAATAAATAGATTTTGTGTGATTTACAAGGTAGACACTCTACTTCTTTTATAAGAGAAAAAGTAAGTATCAACATATAATTTTCCCGATATAAAACTTCTCTTTTCACATTTTCTCACTTGAAGATTTTGATTAAATTAATCAAATATTCATAATACATTATTATTGTCTTTTATGTTGTTATTTCATTGTAATATATCTTTTCTATATAAACTTGTCACTGCTAACCGACTGTCATAACATCTGCTAGAATATTCTTATTTTGTCCTGTAATACAATGTAGAATTCCTTGCAATGTGCAACTGACGGTCACAATACACAATAATATGTTTATGTCCGAGTTCCTTCATTATCCTCTTAATCCAAATAGTTTTCTTATATGTTTTGGTGGTTGTCATGTACTCAATTTTTATAATAGATAGAACTACAACATTCTATATCTTGGATAACTAGTTATTGTCTCTCCAACAAAGGTAAACTCATAAAGATCACCTGCAAAATCTGAATAAACATAACATCTGACGACTAGTTTTGATCATCTGAAATATAATACAGGATCAAGGTTCCTTAATAAGATTTCTCTTGATAATATTCATGTTTTCCACCATAATTTGTCATTAATCTATCAATCGCTTCTATTGCTTGTGCAATGTCTGTCTTTGTACAGATCATAATATTCATAAGATTTCTCACTGTTGATACATATAGTACTCGAGACATTTTCATCCATGCATATAGTATTCCAGATATTTTCATCCATGCATTTCATCTATGCATACAGTACTTGAGACATTTTCATCCTCCTTGCTTCATTGTTAGGACTTATACTTGAGGATAACTTGATAGAAAATGTGATAAAAATTGGTTTACACCATTGCATGTTGAAGCACTGCAAAACCTTCAGCAAGTAATTATTTTGATAAAGACAAATTTTTTCTTTTATGTCCCGATGAATTTGCACCCCTAAAATTTTGTTTGTTAATCCCTAGTTTTTCATATCAAACTTCATAGTCAGTTGTGCCTTCAAAACCTGGATTAACTTTGTTGGAGTCTAACACCAACATCCACATACAACAACAACAAAAAATAATAAAATTATTCTCATCGAATTTATTGTAATAAGTACAATAATTTAAACTTAGTTTGTTGTAATCAAGACTAATAATGATGAATTAAATCTTTTGTACTAACACTTGTGGACACCTGAACATCTTTTTTCAACACCACTATTCTAATAACTATTGCAGTGAGAAAAATATCACAAACAAGAAACCAATCATCCATGCTCTTAAATAATATAATTTTACTACTGAAAGAAACTATAATACCCTCCTTAAATCTCAAGAAAAAATAATAATAATAATATTTTCTTTAAGAAATAAGAGAACTCAACTATTATACAATGCACTATTAGAGAGAAAAAAGAATAGATTTAAAACAATTTACAATGTAGACAATGTATTTCTTTTAGAAGAGGAGAAATAAATACCAATATAATTTTTATAATGTGAAATTTCTCTTTTTATATTCTTACATTAATTTATGAGAATTTAAATGTGAATTAAAGTTCCACATTAAATAAAAATAAAAAAATTCAGAAAATTATAAAAAGAAACTCATAACTTAATACTTAAAAAAAATTAATTATATAATATTTTATTTATGAAAATCTTCCTATTATTAATCTGTAT